TGCCAGATGGGGTATGTGTAGAGATATCCTCAATAGTTCACATCCCCTTTCAAAGGTATTTGTTCATTACGACCAGATGTATCTCGTTGTCAGGGTATAGAAGAGAAAGAACGAGTCGGAACAGATTGGTAATTGATGTTACATGTACTCTAGCATTTAGGCTCACCTCCCTCTACCATACATATATACATAAATGCTTCATTCATACGTAAATACATACATGCATACATAAATACATACACGTAAGGGTACATGCCACACGTCTCTGTACTTCACACAGACCTTTGCTTAGTGCGCACGATATCTATTGAAGACTGCCTGTCACGTGGGATGTTTGTGCACGAGGTTTTGCTGAAGTGCTTCCCGATTATTGGGATCGGCATAGTTTACACACAGTGACACACACGATACGATAGGATTAACGATACAGCTAACAAGGGTAGTATTTTACATACAATTAACAACGACAGGACTATACATACAACTAACAACAACAGATTGATATACTCAACGAAGAACAAGAATAGTGCTTTATATATACCTAACAACGATAAGATTCTACATACAAACTAAAACAATAGGATGATGTGCACACAATTAAAACAATAGGTTGATACATACAAACTAACACGTCCCTTATCCTTGCACCGTATCCAGGTTCCACCAGTTGCTTACCTTGCTCGCAAGACAGCAGCCTGACCCACATATTCTCCGCCGAAGACTTCGAGAGCCCTCTCACCATAGAAGTGGACGGGGTGTGTGAAGTGGTCCTGTCCCTACCCGACGCACAGCCAGGGTTTGTGCTGAAGGTTTCACCTTCGAACGAGCAACTGCACCGGTTTGATAGAGCGGGGACACTTGTGAATGACACATACGACCGTAGTGACTGGACACTGTCGCTGTCTTCGTACCCGCGGGTGGGCGAAGTGTACCAGGTGTGCGAATGTGTACCAAGATATATATATATATGTATGTATGTATGTATGTATGTATGTATGTATGTATGTATGTATGTACGTATGTACGTATGTACGTACGTATGTATGTATGTATGTAGTTATCTATGTATGTATGTATATATGTATGTATGTATGTAGATAGTTAGATAGTTAGATAAATATCGATATAGATTTAGATATGAATATAGATATAGATATATATCTGTATATGTATATATATATAGTANATATATATATA